TTCTGTGGAGATTACTTCTTCTAGACAAGGCTAGGTGTAGCTTCATGCAAATCCTCAAAAACTGGGTCTTTTTCATTAGAGCTTGAACTCCCGTTCACCTTGTAGAAAGTGAATGAGAGAGGCTGGTCACCTCAATCTTTCTGCTCAAAAATTCTTGAGAGTGGCCTATATACAAGGTTCAGGGTTTTCTTAGTAAAAAAACTGAAACTCAGTTTTACAATGGTGTACTACGACAGTACCCATTACTGAGCTCACCTTCATGGCAGTGTGAATCTCATGGGCCTTGTATCCATGTAGATATGTTAATTAGTTGCTTATTCTCTGGACTACCAATTCCATTTACTATCATAATCAAATTGACAGTTTAAAGTTATAACCATTTGCAAAATCTACCCTGATGCTGCCAGACCATGCTTTAAAATGAACAGTCTCGCCATTATCAGCATACCTATCATCGACGTGTGTGAATCTCTTATCTGCTTTCCAATAAAACAACCTGGACTCCCCTTTAATAATGAAGCCATCCAAGCTTAGTGCTGGGCAGAATTCACAACGGGTCATCTGACCCCTTCATTCTTCAAACTCAGCATAACAACGTGGTTCTTGCGTCAAGCAGGGTATTTCACTTGATGCAAGAATGCAGATATTATTCCTTGTAATACAAGAAACTAAATGTGGATTTCATGGTATCAAAGAATCTAACAGACCTTTATTACCTCTGGCTATTATCTGCATGAATTTTATTCACAGGCGCATAATCTAATGTTAGTCGAAACATTTATAACAGAAGCATACTTCCTGTAGCCTGAGATAACAAGGTGTAGAGCTGGATGAACACAGCAGGCCAAGCAGCATCAGACAAGCAGGAAGGCTGACGTTTCGGGCTTCAAGTGAATCAGAGTTAACAAAGGTTAGGAGACCTTCATATCCTTCTGTCACGTGCTACAATACAGTGAAACATGTCCCTTTAAAAAAATGGGGCATGGGGGAGCAGAGTCAAGTCATCATGGTCCTAGAGGATCTGAGGGCTGCTGTCTTATTAGAGAAGACTGACAGTGGTTTAACTGGAGGGCCAGCACACCTTGGGAGATGAGAAAGGTCAAGAAGCAAAAGTCCTTCATGGTAACGTCAGCTGGTGTGGGAATTGAACCATGCTGTTGACCTCACTCTGCATCAAAACCTGGCCATCCAATCAACTGAGCTAACTGACCCCCAGGTCACTAAAGGAGGTATATTGACATACTAAGTGCAACATTATAATGTCAAGATTTGAGAGAATATTGGGCATCATAATTCTCACATACATACACCCATCTCTCCTCCAGCATGGCAACAAACTCCACCCCCATCCTACAACACACACAGAAAACCAGATCAATCCACCTCACCGCACCCCTCCCCTCACTAAAATCTCCACACAAGTTTTGCCTGGGGAGTTGCAATTGGTAACTTGGAAAAGTATTGCAAGCACGGACCAGCAGGTGAGACAGAAATAAGAGTAGAAAAGGGGGGCATGAGTAAAAATGGTACTTCAGTCAGAAAGTTAAACCACTGAATAATATTTCCGACTGCCAAACTTGCCCTTCCTGCCTGCACAGCGAGCTGATTTAAAAACAGCTGAATTAAAACTGAAGATTTGGCTCACTTCAATTAACCTCCTGAAACTCATCCTGTCAGATGTCACGTTTGATGCTCATCATGCCAGCTGGTTTCCGAAATTACAACCTCATTAATTTGTTTTCTTAAAAACCCTGCAGAGTAAAATGCAATTCAATCTCATCACACTACAAGAGACTTCAAATGAGGAGTTTTATCAACATGCAACATTCAGTCCCAACATCAAGCTGGTGCTAACCATTAACCAGATACTTAAATGTCATTCAACAGACCCCTTTCTCAAGCAGCCCAAAACTTTGGTGATCTGTACAATTTGACTCGAACAAGTTTGGATTCTCCCCCATTTGTACAGTGAATTCAAATGCTGCCTTGTTGAGGCATACAAACCAGGAAGGCTTGTCCTCTGCCTCTGCTTGGGTTATGTTAACATCACAAACATCCAAATCCCACTGATAATAAGATGATCTGATTCTGTGCTATTGACTGAGGGATAACTATTTGCCAAGGCAACATGAGATAACGTCACTGGTCTACTCTGAGGTAGTGCTAAGGGATTTTTTTATTTTACATCTGGCAAACAGGCTAATGATTCATCTAAAGGAAGGTACAGTCCTCCAGTCCTGCCCTGGAGTGTCACATTTGATCTTTGTGATCAAGCTCTGGAGTGGGAATTTAACCTTGTTTTCAAAATGGCAAAGAGGGATGCTAACAGAACGACAGTCATCACACATCCCTTAGCAGTGATTAACCAACATTAAAATTGATCAGCATATCAACATTTGCTTTTGTTATGCATACAGACGCCAAATACTCCTCATCCAGAAGGCGATTCTCACTAAGAGATCACCACCAAGGAATGAGTTGATAGACAGCATCATGATCAAGCTCAGGAGACGCCAGATGATCACTATGGGGCAGCATGGTAGTTAGCACTGCTGCCTCTAAGCGCTAGGGACCTGGGTTCGGTTCCAGTCTCGGGTGACTGTCTGTGCAAACTCCACGTATTCTTTCCATGTCTGTGTGGGTTTCCTCTGGGTGCTCCAGTTTCCTCACACAGTCCAAAGGTGTGCAGGTTAGGTGGATTGGCCATGGGAAATGCAAGGATAGGGTAGTGGGGTGGGTTTGAGTGGAATGCTTTTTGGATGGTCAGTGATGACTTGATGGGCCGAATGGCCTGCTTCCTCACTGCAGGGACTGTATGATTCTACTTGTACTTTCAAACAGCAGCGTGAGTGAGTGGGCTGGTGTGCTGCAGTGCTGTAACTTTTTAAACACTTTTTTTTTGTGATGCTTCACTGGTCAAACAGTGCACTAAGAATTTAGGAGTAGAAATTAGTCCTGATTAACAACACAAAAGTGGACAAGTTATATGCCCAATTTCAATTCCATTCCAAGTTGCATCCATGCTACTGCAAAGCATAACTCGTTCTCATTGTATTAGAAACAGAACAGTACACTTAGATGGACAAGTCATACATACTGACTATGCAAAGTGATGAACCATTGCAGAATTAAAAGTTTGAGAGTAAACTGCTCACAGTTTTGTCAACTGCCATTTTTTAAGTGTCAATACCACTTTAACTTGGCTACGGGTATGGTACTCATACCCATCATCCAGCACACCGTAACAATTACAAAGTTAACATTAAAATACCAACAGAAGAACAGCAAATGTTGATCATTTATGACAGCAAACAGAAAATGCTAGAAACGTACAAATCAGCCAATATCCTTGGAAAAAGTAAAGTCATATTTTGAATTAGATTGAAGTTTTCACCAAGACCAGGAAGTATGAAAGACTTTTGGACAAACTGGGGAGAACAAGGTAGTGGGCTGGGGGAGCAGGAATGACAGAAAAAGCCGATTTGTAGAATATTATAACATGGAAGAAGATGGCCATTCAGGTCATTGTGACTGTACTGGCTCTTCATGAGCTCTGCAAATTTCTCCTTTGGAAAAATTATTGAACCGGCTTCCACCACTTGCTTCAGGCAGAGCAGTCCTGAGAAGGAATTGATGATATATTTCTTTCCTCATGTCATCTCCAGTTCTTTCGCCAGTTTAACTCCATGTCACTCAGACAAGTACATGAACAGGGAAGGTTTGAAGGGACACGTGCCAGGAGCAGGCAGGTGGGACTAGTTTAGTTCGGGATTATGTCTGGCATGGACCAAAGAGTCATATAGCATAGAAACAGACATTATGTCCACCAACTACTGACCCTGCTGAGTTAGTCAAATAATTTTGAATGCCTCAATCACTTCTCCTCTTAACCTTTTCTGTTCTAAGGACAACAACCCTTGCTTCTCCACATCACCAGCGTTCTGAAGTTTTTCATTGTACATATCATTCTAGTAAAATAGAAGTAAAATTCTGCAGATACTGTAAATCTGAAATTAAAACAAAGAAATGCTGTTAAAACTCAGCAGGTTGGCCAGTATCTACAGAGGGGAGGTGGTGGGAATGGTGACGTCACCAAACCCACTCTGAGGCATGGGTTCGAATACGGTCATAGCAAATGAAGAATTTTAAATCCAATAAAAATCTGGAATTTTAAAAAAAAAAAGGACCATGTAGCCATTGTCAATTGTTGGTTTTGAAAAAAAAAATCTGATAAGCCCTTTAGGGAAGGAAATCTGTAAATGACAATATTGCAGCTCTAATTTACAGAGTTCAAACTGCAATCAGCAAGCAAGGCCTAGATTTGGACAGAAGCAACATGTTGAGACTGCTGCATAGCTCAAGTGGACATGATACCCAAAAAAAAAGCCCTATTATTATTGATATCCACGCAGCAACTACACACTACCACGAGAAAGTAGTTACTTAATCCTAACCCTGGCTTTGCTTGAACTTCTCATCCATTAAACTAGATTTCCATACATTTTTTTTTAAAAAAAAGGAACTGTAAGGGGTCAACAAGCTCTATCAGGAACTAGAAAATGTTTAGCACTCCAATTTTAGATCTTACTCAGTGGGAAATGAGCCCCAAAAAGATGTGAAATCACATTAACAGTTCATTATATAATATCACATTTGATTTCCTGGAACATGAGTGGAAGGAGAGAGTAAATCATCAAACAATAGGCGCACAACTGAAGTCAACGACATTTACTTTTTAAATATTTAATAAAGGTTGAAAGCTCTGAAGCACTTTATAAAAAGTAATAATAAATGAGATAGTGCCCATTATTAATTTATCATTCAAATTAATCTGTCGGCAGTTCCAATTAAAAAGAACATTCAATTATTCATTGGTGTATAATTGGAAAATACAAAGAGAAAAGTTCTATTTACAACCAGGCTCAATCATGAAATTTGTCACATTTATGGTAGGACAACCCATGAAGCATTTCTAAGAAGAGACCAAGAAAGTTACTTACCTGTTTATGCATTTCAATGTTCAAACCATAAGACATTTCGTAATACTGGAAAAAAACCAAACCAAAATAAAATGTTAATGTCTTACATTCTATTTTGGATGGACCCTCTGTGCGGTTATTAATCACGCAACCATGTTATGATCATCAAGATAGCCATTTGTGATCTCCAGTAGTCACTTGCTCATGCACCAGCACACTAATGCACTCCATCAGATAAACGCACAAGGAATGTCAATTCTTTAAAATCAAGTTCCTGCCTGTGGAAACTCCTACAAAAACACAAGGCCTAATGAGAGCTCAAAGCCTCTTTACTGAAAAAGATGCTTTTACCAGGTCTCCTGATGACACTAGCTAGGATGCAGCTTGCAGTGCATTCATGCTTCTTTATTCTTTCAAGGGAGGTGGGTGCATCTGGCAGAGCCAGGATTTTGTACCTACCCCTAAGAGGCTTTATTATCTCTAAAACGCTGAGTGGCTTGCAAGGCTTTTCCAACGGCAATTAGTCAACCAATTTGTTGTGGGTCTGGAGTCACATGAAGGCCAGATGGGGAAAAGATAACAGATTTACTACTTTAGTTTACCAATAATCTTCTAGGGCGGTTTTTACAACATTCAATGATAGCTGTCATGGTGATCATTACCGGAAGTAACGTTATATTCCAGATTAAGAAATTTAAATCAATTTCACCAGCTGCCACGTTGGAACTTGAACCCGTCTCCAGAATAGTAACCTGGGCCTCTGGGTAACACTTCCAATAACTGCAGGTTTTGCCTACGGGATGCCTCAGTGCAGTTGGATTTGGAATCTGCTCTCCACCTGCATATGTACAGACACATCTAAAGGCAGCATCATCAGGCACATACCCTTCGCCAAATTCCCCCTTTGAGCCTGGGTCGACTAAGCCAAGGCAGAGATCAGCAAATGTAATTTAGGTCAGGAACTGAAACAGGTTTACGTTCCTGAATGGAAATGTTGTTAGCAGAGAAAATCAAGGATTCAGTACTTAAAACCATCAAGTGTTTGGTGGTCCACGTGCCTCCATACTCAAGAAAAGGTGCAAAGAGAGATAAGGTAAGATCAGGGAGGAGTGAAAAATGAAACAAGAGAAGACAAACAAACAGTCAACTACACTTTTCACATCAACAAGTACGTAAAAACAGAATGAGATAGCAGACAGTTCTCATTCAATATTTAATCCAAGAGTTGGACTCCATCTTGGTAAAGAAATCCTACTGCTTGTTGCAAAACCAAAAAAATCTCAGTGTCCAATCCCCCAGCTGAAAAATTATCAGGGGGTCACCTTTGGTGTCGAGAAGATCAGGAGTAGCTATTTCATGCATCCATTTCAAAGCAAACAGGGAATTCATAGTGAACCTCCAATTATTTGGGTAAAATAGAAACTGTTGGAATAAAAAAAACAGTTGGAGAAACTCGGCAGCTCTGGCAGCATGTGGGGAAAGACAGCGAGTGAGTTAACATTTCAAGTCTGATAAGACTCTTCTCCAGGACTGAAAAGGTGCTGGAAAACAGTGGTATTTTATGCTGTTGACAGAAAGGGAGGAGGAGCGAGTAGAACAGATTGCGAGGGTACACTGAACAAAAAAAAGGGGAGTGCTCATGAATCTTGAAACTTTCACATCTCTCTCTCTCTCCTTTATTATCATTAGCACTCCCTTGACTTTTGCTCTGAGCACCACCACCTCCTGTTCCACTCACTTCTCTCCTTTTGTCAACGGTATAAAATCCACCATTTTCCATCCTCTTTCAGTTTTGATGATAACTCAGCGTTTCAAAACCAATGTAACTCCATTTCTCTCCACACAGGTGCTGCCCAACCTTTATATTTTCTCTAGCAGTTTATATTTAATTCACATATCCAGCATTTACAGTATTTCACTTTTAAGTACAGAAACTGCTCATGAGCATTGCCCAGAAACCACATGCAAGTCTAAAGATATAGGGAGGTCAAGTGCTCCCAGAATGTCAGTTCAAATAGGAATTCATAACAAACCAACACTACATCACAACTTTTAAGTTAGAGATGGCAACACTGTACATGATTACATGGTGGAGAAAGATGCACAGCTCCTTTATGATTAATGAGACATCCCCCAGCTATATGCATACATCCAAATATCTAGACAAATGCAGCATACAGTCTGGATAGACTTCAACCTTTTTGTAAAAAAAAGGTGCAATGAAAGGAAGGTCCTTACCATGACATAATGGCGCTGCATTTCTGTCTTTTCACTGGCCAGTTTGTCACATTCCAACTTGAGGCTGTGGTTAAAAATACACAAAACAAAAATCAAATGACAAATTCGAAGAAAACATTGTACTCTCTGCTCTTTAGGTTTCATTCCAAATTCAAGCTCTGCCCTTTGCCTTCAGGGAAATGAAGTGAAAATATTATACTCGGTTGCATTTTTTTGTATGACTACCCAATGCATCATACTCCACTGAAAACAAAAAAAAATCTACTGCTGTCATGCCAGGGCACTGACGAAAGAGCCACGTTTTACACAGAATCCCAAATATTTGCAGCCTACTTGACCATGTGCTTCTCTCACAGCACTGTCAACTGAAGCTTTCATCCAGCATTCCCACGTGACCAATTTCCATCAGGGGTCACTCAATGTTTAGTTTCTCTGAAGTACATAGTGATTTTTTTTTAAATGAAGTTCCTTCTCTCCCACCCAACATCTCTCTCCCTTCTCCCACTTGCAAGAGAGGTACACATGCCAGTTATAACATTTATACTGCCACCCTGGTAGGAACTGAATCACTGAATACAGATCAAAATACAGTGATGGGGGCTTGGCACAGTAATAATTAGTTCATTAAACTACTAGGGCATGATTACAAAATTTAGTGAGCATTTGGAGTAACCTCTCAGAAGGTTCCAATAATGAAACACTGCCAGGGACATTGAGCAAATTAGTCCATCTCATTTTTAAAATTTAATGTAGCTGTATTAAATCTATGTAATGCACAGAAACAAACTTCCAACTCACGAACATACAAATCAGGTAGTCTCTTGGCCGCTTAAGCTTGTACCGCCATTCAGTAAGATCCACAAGCAATCTATAATTTCTCCCCATTCCCATGGACCACCTTTCATCCCATTCTTTACCAAGACTCTACCTCTGTGTTAAAAATGTTCAAACACGTCGCTTCCACAGACTTTTGAGGCAGCACAATCCCGAACTCAAGGCCTTCAGTGAAAATAAATTTTACCGCATCCGGTGTCTTTAATTGAAAACCTTAGGTTTTTGGGGGAAAAAAAAAAGGGAAAATCTTTTCCACACGCACACTGCCAAGATGTCTCAGGATCTTACAGGTTTCAATTAAATCTACAGGGTCACACAGTGGTTAGCACTGCTGCCTCACAGCGCCAGGATCCCAGGTGTGATTCCAGCCTCAAGCCACTGTGTGTGTGGTGTTTGTGCAAGTTTCGTCTGCAGGCTCGGATTTCCTTCCACAGTCCAAAGATGTGCAGGTTAGGTGGATTGGCCGTGCTAAGTTGCCCATAATGTCTCAAGATGTGCAGGCTAGGGGCATTAGCCACAGGAAATGCAGGTTTCCAGGGATAGGGTAGGGGGTGAGTCTAGGCAGGATGCTCTTCAGAGGGTCCGTGTGGATTGGATAGGACGAATGCCAGCTTCCACACTGCAGGGATTCTATGATTGAGTCACCGACTCTCCTAAACTCCAGTGGATACTAGCTTAACCTACTGAACTTCATCTCATAAGACAACTCGCCAATTTCATGTATTAGTCTAGTAAATCGCCACTGAATTACATCAAAGGCATTTACATTCTTCCTTAGATAAGGAGGCCAGTACTGCACATGACGCCAGATGTGGTTCCACCAGTGCCTTGTAACATACCTAAAGCATAACCACCCTACATTTCATTCAATTCCCTTCTCAATAAATGAGAATATTCTATTAGTTTTCCTAATTGCTTGCTGTGCCTAGATGTTAAACTTTTGCAATTTATGCATTAGGATAGCGAGGCATTGCAGAAGAATCTGCCTAATTCCATGTTTTGGGTTGATTCTGAGAAACTGGAATACCTAAAGGATATTGTGAACTATACCTGCTACGTCTGTTTTTTTTTGCTTTAGGCTACGATTTAGGGAGATATCAGTTACACTACATATGGAACAAGTCACAAGGAAAGACAATGTTCAGTTAATAGTGTTTTTAGTCATTTGTTACAATGGATATTTTAGAAAACATAATCATGATGTATCATTTTTTCAGCTATTAAGTGTAAGTTTTTTTTTTAAAGAAGTGAAGAGTTAGCAGCTTGCGAGGTGATCAATTTGATGATAATGTGTGCAAGTGGACTGCTGCCAGCATGATTATTTAACAGCCTATGCCCTTTCACCAGAAGGGCACACCAGTTAACTCACTTCAATGTCTTGCTGCTTGGGTACTGACCTGTATTGTTCCAGAGGTCCCAAAGCTTTGTACAGCCTCCCGAATCCAGGAGTCTGTGGGCAACCACTTCTCCCCCTGCTGCAGGCCTCAGTAACTTACGTCATGGATACACCCAATGTCACTACTCCAGGACTGAGCACAGCCAAAACACGGCTTTAGTTTAATGCCCATCAATTGCCTCACCCTCTCATCTCGGGGTCAGACTGCTCTTGCAAATACTGGCACAAAAACAGTGATAACGAAAAGAAAAAGAGGCGCATTTTCTTGTCCTTCTGCCAAAAGGACATCAGCCCCATCACTGCCTGGATTTCCAACTCCAGGTCATTGACACTGACCAAGGTTATGATGTATTCAGTCAAACAGCGCTACCTCTAACTTGGCTTTGTACAAGAGTGCACTACTATTCGAGCAATACCTGAAAAGTCCCAAAATATTTGTGGTTACACACTCTGGTGAAGTTAGAGAACCTAGAAACTGAGGAACAAGAGCCTTCAAATTATGGACCACTGCAGCTTCAAAACATCCCAAACAACTGAGCAGCACAACGTTACTTTTGAAACAAGCAACAAGATAACTTCAGTTCAAAAATAAAAGCTCTGTGGGATCTTCCACGTGTGCTTGGACTTTGCAGCCTCCTGTCAAAGATAGCACTACTGGCTGAGTTAGCACAACTGGGAGAAGTGTTAACCTAAATAATGCTTAAAAATCCTTGAGTGGAGCTCAAAGCAACTGACTCGGAGGTTAACTACAGGATCTGAACTGAAACTTAATATTTCCAACACAGAGGTAGCTATTGAGCAAACCACAGAGACATACAACACTTAATTATTTTCCACTAAACAAGCCAAAAGGATTCTCACTCCAGTCAACAGCATTTGGTAGAATTTCATGCAAAACAGATTATCAAAAACAGATATGGATTTCTTCCAGGGCATACCAGCCACAAGACTGACTCTATTCTGGTGCAAACAAATGGCCCAATAAAAAAAATGGACAGAGCCTCCTGCAGCATTGTCAGGTTGTCCAGTCAATGAACTGTTGAAAGGTAGGAGGGGGATTATTTCAGGCTGTTGCTCTACACAGGAATATTGAAAAATAAATGGGAATATTTCTCCAACCACATTCAAATGGGAGACACCACTTTATCATCCCACAAGCAGATTTACAGCAAGGAAAAAAAAACTAGCCCAAATTAACATGCAGCATTTAAATAGCAAATGTGATGCACTTTTAAAGTTTCTACAGAATAAGATCAGCACTATAGTTCATTTACTTCAAGTACAGAATGGATTTGGTGACACCAAAGCAAAATTTTATCATTGCTTGAAATCTGGGAAAGGAGAAAATGTTGCGAATACTCAACAGGTTAGGCAGCAGCAAGAGCGAGAGCAAAAGAAACAGTTAACTTGTCATGTTTCATCAGAATCCCCTCCAGTTCTTCTACATTTGTGTGTGTGTTCAAACCTCCACACCTCTAAAAGGCAAGTATATGCATCTTTTGGTAAGGAGGTCAAAACTGTGCACACACAGTCTCATCCAGACTTTATTCAATTGCAACAACCTCCAAAACCTGCCGATCCAGAGGCAAGAGTTCTTAGACCAGAACTGCAAAGATGATTTATCAAAAGATATGCCCTGGAACACAAAAATTGAGACACCTCATGTGCTAAGCATGATGTGTCAATTAGTGACAGCATGCTGTTTCAGTCATGACCAGTGCCTAGGAGATGAGGCACAAAGGAACTGACAATTTGAACAGGTCTACCTTCCTGCAGTAAACTAAGGCATTTATAAGCAAAGACAGTTTAGAAAAGTTGAAAAAAAAATTGCCGAGTCCCCGGAAAGAAATGTCCTCATCACTTTGACAGCAAAGGGTCAGAGGTGGGCCATCTTTCATTCAGGAGTAAGGAATTGTAACTATATTTTGAAATAATATGAGGAGAAGCAGAGAGCCAGAGAGAGCCATCGTAGGTTGGCTGGGCTGAATGGCCTCTTTCTGTGCTCTAAAAGTCTATGGAACTATATAACACAATAGGCACCAAGAGAAAAAAAACGTGGAGCAAATGGATGGGAAAAGGCTTGTCAGCAATCAGCACACAAATGCCCATGTGACACAATTCATTTTTAAAATCTAATTATTAAAACACACATGCAGAAACGTTTGACTACAGCCCTTCCGTTAATAAATTCTTAGAGGTCAGAAGCAGCAATGATCTCCCTGACAGGTATACAAACAGGCCAGCAGTAATAACAGATTCCAAATAATCTCAGCACAATGCTCATACATACAGATAACAATATCTCCTGAGCCGAGTTAACATTATAACTCTGCATTCAGAAAGCCTGCAAAAACAAGGGCCACCTCTTCACTGCAGAGCTAAAGAGCAAAGCAATGCCATTGTCTAAATGCTAGGTTAGGACCACCGTGATTTCAGGCTCCAGGCTCCAGCCTCCCACCAGCTGAACACCAGTAATCCTCCCCAAGATAGGCTACACAATGCTACAGTCAGTCAGGACTCTAATCCAAACCACAGTCAATTTTTCCCAGCTTGGCTGACTCTTGTTTTTAAGGGGATAGTCCGGTGCTAAAGTAGTTCCACTTCCTAGACAGGCACATACCACGGCAATCTGTCAGAGAGTTACCGAGCCTATACATCCCCTTGGTGCTATTTAATAAAAATGGTCTGATGCCATTGTTAAACCAAACAAATTGATGCAATGACTTTGCTCAGCATACATACTGTGCAGTAGGTAAAGGAACTAGTTGAGTGTTCAAAATATATTTCTTTGATTGAGGGAATTTTAATTTTGCATATCATTTGAAGGACACATA